GGGGGGGCACAGTGGCGGATGTAGAAATTTTGGTTGTTGGGATCGGAATTTAAGTAATATGGCTACATGCTCACGTGGTTGACGTTGTCCTCTATAACCCTAACAATTAATAATTAACAAAAAATTAACAATTATACATTACCTAACAAGCTCTAACCCTAACAATTCACAATTAATATAAAAAAATTATATAAAAGATTAACAATGATCTTGGGCTAAAAAAATTATGGGGTCAAACCTTATTTTTATTGGGGGTCAAAACACCTTATATATTTATAAAAAAATTAATTTTATAGTATAAAAAGCAATTTTTTTTGGAACTTTATGGGGGTCATTTGATCCCCGAAATCAACACATAGATCCACCCTTGGGGGAGCTTTATGTAGAAAGCCAAGTTTTTTTTTCCAAACATGTCTCTCCCAGTTAAAAAAACACCTCCTTCCGTCTATGAATAAACCCTCCCAAATAAAAACCTTCCCTACCTACACAGACATATTAATCTATGCGGACAGTTTTATCCATACAGAACCTCAGCTATTTGGTCGGTTTTCTAAGTCCTGTATGGATAAAGTTGTCTGAGTGGATTAATCTGTCTGTGTGGATTGAAAAAGTTTTTGTTTGGGAGGGCATTCTCATTGGGGAAAGGAGCGTGTTTTTTAACTGATAGGTGCAGGTTTGAAAAAACAAAACTTGACTTCCTGCATGAAGCTCCCTCCGTGAAGCTTACTGAATAAGCCATTTTTTTATATCATTAAGCCAACTACCAAACAGCGCCTAATACACTCGTATGTTATTTAACAGGAAAAGGCGACCACTCGTACAGCAGACACAGAAGAAGAACATCAAGACGAAAGATCATGAAGAAGCAGCAATCGAGATAGCAGATGCAAACTGTTGTACCACCACATCCATATACGGTAATAGGAGTACGAAGAGGATCATGGTTTAGGTGGCGAAAACGAAGCCATATATGCATATCATTCGAGCATACAAAAGGTAAAAGTATATATAATGACATGACGATGAGCTTCTTGAGATGTTCAGAGATGAAGTATTCCTTCTTTCAACTATAGTTATTAGGTTACGAGGACTTAGTACACCGACAGGCATTCTTTTGTACCATCATAATTGTTGTGTGTTCTTCTTTGCTTTAATCTACTTCCATAACAAGCTTTTTTGCAAAATGCAAAGAAATACAAAGACTTGTCCTAAACAACAACATTTTTGGTTATGGAACCATGTCAATTACTAGCAAAACAATTGTAAAATATCTGGCAAAAGGACGGGATGACTTTGTCCAAATGTTTAACAGATTCAGGTTTGATTCCCTCTGCCTTGGCTGCTGAATCGGCTCACAAAATTTGTAATACCCTAGTTTTTATACATGTTTCATTTCAGTGTTTTTAGTATTAAATACAAGTATTATGATCTAACTAATGGGTCGTTTACCAAATGCTTACTCAGGTAAGCGTTTACTAAGTTATATTACCTCATCGGATGAATATGGCAAGGATTAAGAATTTTACCCCATAAAAGTAAAGGCAAGGACCGAGAGTCTTATCCGGTAAATAATGGCGATAAATCTTACCATGGTTAGTGCTTATTGGGTAAATTGTTACATATGATGTAGTTTTCGTAGACTAAAATCTTACCAGGTAAGTAAGCGATATCATTGAATTTTACGGTTAAGTGCTTACCGGGCAAGTATTTTGGTAAACGGTCCCTAAATGAATTAAAAAGGCCCCAGGTGACCAACATTAGCAACTACAAATCATCATATTTTAAATGACAAATAGCAAGTCTAGTAAGTATGACAATTATAAGCAAATAATGCAAAAGGCGGGATGACTTTGTCCAAATGCATAACAGATTCAAGTTCGAATCCTAGTAGGTTTTGAATCCTTCCGCATTGGCCGTTGAGTTGGCTCATAAAATGTCTTTCACATGTTATGCCTAAGCATCCGTGGCTGAATGGTTAAAGCACCTAACTCATAATTGACGAATTCCTCAAGGGCAGGTTCTGTGTGGACCGGTTAAAGTTATCATTAATCAACTTTTTGTTCAGATATTGCAAATTGGGAAAGAAGAAAAAAATGGTATTATATGTGGGAAAATATTTGTGGGTGAACATGAGAAAAAGATGTTTCTACTAGTATATTGTTCAAAACAAATACAAAAATATGGGAGTGAACTTTGGTTCAACAAACAAACCAACTTAGATTAAATACAAAACACTCTTTGGATCTTGGACTTGGATTATGATTTCATTTCACATAAGTCTTAGTTCGTATTCGCCGGCCATCGTTATATATCGCACCCATGGAAGAGCCTGGTACCCGCTTTTCTCGATGATCTTTAGGTAACGAACCTGCGATTACCCGCTTTTTTCGAGTTAAAATTTCTTGTTACATCGAAACTATGATTGAAGATGCAACGAGAAAGGCTCACCTGTATTCCTGAAACTGTGAAATACGGTATCTCGAACTTCACACGGATCGGGGCTTTTCTCTCGGGGGCTGCTTCTTCGTCTATTATACTTGGAAGTCTGAACTCCGCTCTCAACATGTATTCCTAAAACATCCACATTTGAAAATATTTAATTGGAACAGATTCCCGCCCGTTAGCTTAAACCACTTCGGAAATTGAACTTTGACTAATTGACTTGGTCAATGCTTCAAAATTGACAATTCAAGATGAACAGCATATATGAAAAAACTTACCTTACCACCTGGAAATGATTTTATTTTCCAGCAGAGCGCGTCGTTTTCTGGTGCGTATGCAGCTGATCCCATGGAAGTCCGAACATTTGGATTCGTAGCATCAGCGGGCACAGGGAATTCAATTTCCACATTTGTTGCAGTGCTGCCAAGTCAAAGTGGCAAATCATACGAGTGAAACTTGTGTTTTAGCCGGTAATCCCATATTCCAATGGAAAGGGATAATAGATCAGAGATGCAGTTTTATCTCTTCAAACGTGTTGGAGTCCCACACCGGTTAGATTTGGACCATTTCTCCTACATATATATTGGAACCTCTCCTTTCTCCTCAGGGGCTCTTTTGGAGAGTGATATGGGGGTTCCATATATTTTCACAAAATGAATATGGGAAGAAAATTAGATCTATACCTACGCTCCTTAAATTGGCTCCGAGCTTTCACCATTATTTCCATACGACTTCTAGAATGCCTTTCGATTTGAGCTTCCACCCATATCAGAGGCTTTACCTGAAAGAAATCATACGACTCCAATATAGTTAGTAAGGAAACAGAGGGGGAGTTCCTTGTTGAGATCAAGGATGGGAATTGCAAAAACCTGAGTACTAAGTCGATATGTCATGAGGTCAAAAGCACCATCAGGAGGTACAAAGGATATCGTCCGATCATTTTCAAAACGGGCCAAACGCACACACCTACACCAAAGTAGCACATTGGCTGAAAATTAGCAGCAGATAGTGATAAACAAAACTATGTGCCCAAAAATGGTCAAGGAAGATCAAGTATCCTGAGGCCACTAAGGGTCTGTTAGCACTTTAATGAGCTTAATGGGACTCATAGCTTATTCGGTCAGCTATGCATGACCGTTTGGTAGTGGCTTAATGATATAGATAGTGGCTTATTCAGTAAGCTTCTAATGGAGCTTTATGCAGAAAGCCAAGTTTTCTCCAAACCTGTCCCTCCCAATTAAAAATCACGCGCGTTCCATCTACGGAAAACCCTCCCAAACAAAAACATTCCCAATCTATACAGACAGATCAATCCACAGAGACAACTTTATCCATACATGACTTAATGGAAAACCAACCAAACAGCCCCTAAGGGCTGGACAACTTACTGATGAAACTTGATGTCATCCAAGTCAATAGCTTTTCCCTTGGTAGATCGTCCTTGTGCCTCCAACAATACTCTATCATTCAGCCCAAGCTTACATTCAGGCATACCACTGCAAGAAATGAAGCAATCACTTTTAGTAGTTAAGGAAGACCTTGGTGTTTCTGAGATGTTTTTGCAACCATGGCAACATGGATGTCGAAGAAGGCAGAAATGGTATTAAAACCATCAAACATCAAGAAGCTTGAAGCATGTGGGAATGAGGCTTGTGGCTGATTATTAAAGTTATCTGCTCAATAACTGAAGTATGTTTACAAGTTCTTTTATATGTACATGGTTCAAAATTAGATCTCATCATTTATTACTATATGTATTACTCCATTAAATATGACATGAAAACCAAGCACCCCACAAGCCAAGGGATGGAATGCAGAGTAAATGGAGCGTAAAACAATCCTCAGTTGGATTTGATAGTTGTATGATAATTTCCACTAGGCAATGATATGGGAGTCAGGTGTATACACAATTCATAACCATGAAGACCATGACTTGTACCATGAGGAGGGTGTTAGAAGCAGCGGTAAGCCACAATTCAAGAGGAGGGCGCTTGGTTCCTTTCATGGAATGTTGGGGATTGATCGTTACATTGATGCTGTTTGATTAATACTGGGAAATTATTGCGATTATCCAACAACATCATGGGGAAATTATTTCGATTATCCAACAACATCAATGTAATGATCGTTCTCATTCCCACTGCCATTGCCATTCCCATTCCCTGAAACGAACCAAGGCCCCCCTAACTGATTGTTGTTGATCAATACACATAAGTGGATAAACTAAACACCGTGTAGAATTATAGATTACTCCATTGAGGTTTGGATCATCTCTTCTTTCTCTTTATGAAAACTCTGAAGGCTATCATTTTTCACGCCAGCCAGACCCCCATATTAACCAGTAGGGATCCCAAGATATCCTATGATCAAAGGCTTTGTGATTGTCACAGACTGGTATTTGGACCGGCACCTTTGGGAGCAAAAGACCCTGACAAACTAGTGAAGTAGCATTTATTTAGTTCAGTCAAGTTTACTATTTTCTGTGTGGTTCAGTTTGTGTTTGGAAACAGTACTGACTATGAGAAGTAAGTGATTATATATCTTTGTGGTCTTCTCAATAGTCTATGCAATTGGTACTTAGATTGATTTCTTTTGAGCTTTATCTTCAAAATGGTAGCATATACAAATATCAGGTATGACCTGAAACCTATAAGGGACCACAGAACAAGGATAAAGGGTGTGTGTGTCCATGTGAATATGAAAACACCACTCTGTCGTATTAACTAGTGTTTGAGGTGGGATGAGAGAGGGGCACAGATAAGAAGCAGTTTATGGGACAGTGCTTTGTCTTGGTGAAAGCGCAACTGCATATAGAAAACACAGAAGCTAAGAAATCAATTCATATAACGTATCTCCCTAGTTTCACCTCAAACCTATTTAGGGTGTCAAAAGGAATCGAATCTACAAATTTAGTCTTCCATGCATTAACAATATTGATCAAATAATATACTCCCAAGTCCCATCAGCTTATGGAAGCAATGGCTCTTCGATAATCCTTAATTAACGGAACATATGGTCTGGTAACAACTTAGTTCATAGCAAAGAATCTGCAAAGTTAAAAAAATAAAGGGTGTTCTAACAGAAGAGATAAAAGCCAGGTGCTTGCACGGTGACTGGTCTGTGGAATAGTTTCCCTTACTTTCCTTTTTTTTATATTAGCTCAGTTTCCTTTCATCTTTAGGTATGCTTTTCCTTCTTAATGAAATTAGCAACAAAGCTTGTTAATGTTTATTTTTAGTATTTTTTGCGTTGGAGGGATGTGCAAAAAATTCAAATTATGGGAATATCTTCTGATATCAATAGGATCAATGAAAGAATTTTCTTTATGCCAAAATTCCCTCAAGAGCACCTAGAATAAGCTTGTTTAGTAATTGTATGCATTAGAATACCTGGAAATTACAAGTTAATAACACAAACAAGACAAGAAGAATAAGAACAAGGATAATGAAGTTACCTCAGGTAAGTCCGCATCTTCAATGCCCCAACAACCTCTGACCTAACTATTTGACCATTACTGTTGACAAGTATATTCACACTCTCCACAACATCCAAAAAGACCTGAACAAGGCAAGAAAGTCCTTTTTGTAGTCTCGTCTCCATAATTACCTAACTTTGACAAGAAGACCTACCTCATTCTTCTTGTATCGAATCCCTTCACTACGCCAGGACACAGCATTTGTGACAGCCATGGGAGGCCTCTGGGAAACTTCCATCCTGTAAGCATCAGTCTTGATAAACTCGCTGAGAATTTTAGCTTCAGTGTATTGAGGGTAACCAAAGTCCATCATTTCATCAAGCAACTCATACTACAAACAACATGAGGCTTCAGGTTTTATCCTTCATATAATGGCATATTTAGTGAGAGTATATCGTAAAATATGCATACCACTACAACAAAGTTATCTCTAAGTGATTCCTCCTCTAGCTCCTCAAAGTAATGCTTAAATACCTGTTGTCAACAACAAACACAAATTTGATACATATATATAATGCCTTGTAAGGGTAATATCAAAATATTCAGCTGAGTAAAAAGATTCTGTAGGGGTCCGTGGGAAGAGGGAGGGGGAGTCTTAACAAGTGTTTGAAAAGTTTCTAGGATCACATGTGACTATATGTCTTCCTTAAGTTACAAACAGAGAAAATGAAAGCTATTTCATCCAATTATCAAACAGTGCTTACGTCAACTACACGATGTAGAAACAGGAGAAGGCTAGCGGCATTACAGTTTTGCCTCGATGCAGTCATTAGATACACATTGTTGTGTTGTACAAACATGTAGGTGACACCATTATCATACACAACAGGATCTTGAGCATCTGGATCACCCTGAAGTTCATCAATACACCATAAACAAATTAGACATACTCATTTGCATGCACATATTCCATAAAAGGTATTTCCAACATAAATATGCATGTAGGATCACTTGGTTTACGGTATTTTAACAAGATTTATCCAATTCGGAGCTGAATATAAAACAGAGCTCGTCCTCTTGATTATGATCTGGGTTTGGTTTCAATTTTAAACTAACCAATTCAGCTCAAAGAATAATTTACTATTCTCTTAGCTGTTCCTACACTTTATAATACAATAAATACAGAACCGTACAATCAATAGGTTGAATAAACTTGCGAGTTTTTAGCATAACATATTTTGTCTCGATCAGATCACAATTCAGTACGACATTTATCCAAAACCTGCTAAATAAGCATAATCTAGCATAGCATTGTGAACATCTTACCTTGACTGACCTATAACACAAGTTAAGAGCTAATATTGCTTCACTTTTTTCCTTAAAACACTTGCCATGATAAACTAATCTACAATCTATCAAAACACATAAAATAAATTGAATCGACAAAAAAAACCTCTTTTTCTATGAGTTTAGCGAAGAAACGTTCGGCCTGGACTGCAGAGACATCGCCACGGTAGTCACGCCACACCAGAACTCGGCCCTTGATGTCCAGAAGGAACAGCGCAGAGGCCGCCCCTGCCATCAATTACTCGAAACCGATAGATCAGATCCGTATTGATATACAATATTGGTATTGATTTAAGATCTGCTTTCGAATGGATCCGCCGTCAAATCAACGAATTTTCCTATAGATCAATGCTCCATTACTTATCTGCAACAATCCACAAAATTGAAAACGGATTTGAAGACAATTTAGAGGTCCGATCGGTATGAATGGTATGCTTTGTATGTGTGTTAGAAATGGAAGTTAATGCTGAGAAGCTCTGGTTATGGAGTCTACTTTTCACGCTCCGCTGTCCCTGAGTTGCAGGCTTGCAGCGGGCTGCCAGTTGGGCTCAGGCCTGCTGAAGCCCAATACATACACCTATAAGCCCAAGCCCTATTAACGAAAATTGGGCCAAATTGAAACAAAAAATGAATGGTTTATTTGAAAAAAAAAAGTCAAATTTTAGAATTTTATTTTTGATTATAGAATAAAGTTTGTAGATATTTTAGGGTCTTCTTTACCTAATAACATACAAATAAAGGTGTGGATTCGATATAATCAGATACAGGGAGTTTCAAATATCGACCATACATGTAAAAAATCAACGGTGGTAATTGAATCGGTTCTTAACTTTTTTCTAATGGGTTATTTGGCAGTTGCTGAATGGTTTTGTGCATAATGATTAAAAGACTTTCATGATATAGTGCAAAATAAAATATAATTGTTTGGTAATTGTTTATAACAAAATTAGGGCACTGAATGATTAAGGGAGACCCAATATACAAAATCATTCAGAGGGTTTTAAAACCATTAAGAGACATACTTTTTTTTGCCAAACAATATCCACCTCTTAATGATTCAGGTGTTGTTTCTTAATGGAACTATTAAGAGGTAAACAAACAACCCCTAAACCAATTTTTGATTGATTTGATGATCGGTCTAGATTTCGAAATAGAAAAAAGTTAAGGTTTGAGATTAGGTTTTTACGGTTTGTCATAACCACCTCTCTTTCTCTTTCTCGAGCATCGACATTGACCCTCAACCTCACTCATAACGAGCATGAAGTGACCCCAGACCCTACACCACCTCACCCTCGCTCGTATGTTAGGCCCACACAACCATTGTTTGTGAGGCTTTTTGTCGTAAAAGGGAATGGTAGTTTTGAAGAAGGCAATTACAAACCCAAGTTCTTGTAGACGACTCTTCTATAAATACACCAGAAGTGTACTCGCGCAATGCAGCAGGACATATCTCGATTTTAATGTTCTATTTTATTATTTGTCTCTGTCGATGTTATAATACGATTTTATGTGTTTTTAAAAAAACAATAATGATTTTATTTTTAAATAAAATATAAATATGAAGATATCGTAAAATTTTGAAAAAAAAATATATATCAATGTTAGTATCAAATCAACTATTTAAAAGTTCTCATTTTTTAAACAATTTCTTTAATTTGTTTTTTTTTATTATACTTTAATTTAAGTTTAATAATGAAATAATTTATTTTTGGTTTACTAATATAACATTTTATAAAGATAATAATTAAGTATTCTGTTATAACTCAATGATTATTCTAATTATATTTTAGATTTTTTATATCTAAAATGATATGTTTATCCTGTATTTGATTATTTTTATCTGCAGTTAGTTACACGAATTCAGACATTGAGCTTTAATAGGTTGTACTTACATACAATCTACCTGTAATCTTGAGTTTTAAGTAATATTCATCAATAAACAGTACTTTATGCATAAAAAGTGGTTTTTAATAGTTTTTGTCAAATGCTTTATAATATAGTATAGAATAGATACACAGGAAACTGGTTGTACTTGATCATTCAATTACAATTCGAAGAAATTGGTCATGTTAGCAGTTTTGTAGACAGAGGGAAATGGTACTTACATTAATCAGATATATTCAATCTATATGAACGACATGATTTCTGGTTTCTTTGATGTTTCACCAATGGTCATTAGCCAACGACGCATGGCCTCGTAGGTTTGTCAGATACACGCACACATGCATGTAAATATCCATTTTACACACATGTCAAGTTTTCAAGCAAATAACAATATACATTTAGTATGCAGGCTATATAAGACAAGTATGGAGCAATAAACAGTCTCACGTTAGCATGCTTTAAAACAACAATCAGATTAGACAACACAGTACAAAATCTAATTTTCATTCCAATAGTTTCATCCAGTCACTTTTAAATGTATTAAATACATTACAAACAATTACTACGGTTCTATTAAGTATAGTCTTATCATTCTATGTACTAAAAGACTTCCTTATATCTATGAGGTGGACAAAATACACCCCCTGTATATATATTCTTAAATGCATCACTATATACTAATTTTCTTATCACACTCATCAATATCAAATTTTATTTTTTACGTTTTTACCTGATTCGGACACAAAAATAGTCATGTCATATTCAACTTACCAAACGCAAAATAGACGATTAATCAGTCTCATTGTAGTTGTATTTACCTATTAATAGTTCATTAGGAGTCAACATCTGAATCGTTAAGTGGTGAATCTTGTTTGGTCTAAATTTTTCCGGATTATTTTGTATCTTTGGCCTCCTTTAACCATTCAGCACCCTAATTTAATTATAAAAACTACCAAACAATTATATTTCATTTTATACTATATAATAAAAGTCTCTTAATCATTCGAACCGTTTAAATGGTTAATCATGCCATGCCATGGGCGCACAAATCCTTTTACAAGATCCGGTCTACATATTTAAATATTGTTCTATCCGCCTTATTTTTAATTTTCAACTGATTTTTCGCGTAGATAAGTTCCGATTTCATGTTTGGCCCAATATCGAACAGAGATCCGAAGATCGCTATGAAATCTCTGCTCCACAACACAATCCCCTCGATCAACAATCCGTCTCGAATCAAAACCTCATCGATTGAATCACACAATCGATCGTATCTTCAATTTCCACCAACAATTGATCCAAAATGCCTCTTATATCGACAACGAAGACGCCAATTAACCATCAAGGCTGTGTTGAATTCAGCTTCAATTGATCAATATTTTGGACTTACTGAATCAGATGCACGCAATCCTACTTTGTCAACTACGTTTCGGAGACCAAGGCATCGGGAACCTAACAAGACGGTGTTAGAAGCTCAGACTAGGGTTTGTACAGGGCCAACGCAGACCAAGCCACTTACAGAAGAACAAGCTTTTAAGGTTTTGGATACCATGCTAAGATCTGGTAAAATATTTTTGTAGTACTTTTTGATTGATTTAATTTTTCTGATGATATTGCAAAGTTTGCACGATTTCATGATGTATATCTTATACTTGTTGCATCGTTTCAGTTTAATTAAGTTCAAACGAAGAAAACTGTCTCTAGCTGCCAGCCCGTTTCTAGACACAGTTTGATTTTCAAGATCAAACGGTTTATCAGATTGATGTTAGTTCTTCAAATTTTCTGATGCATCTGATTACAACATAATTAATAAAATACAAGTATTAGAAAGTTGAAGGTGCTAAATTTGCTAAGGCTTGCTAGAACGAATTATTTTTAACGAATAGTGAAAATATAAATGCAGAAGGAACCATAGTACTTGGCATTGCTTGTGCAAATTTCAGAACATCTCATGTTGCAAACTATTAGGGTTCTTTTTGCATTTTCACAAGAATGGTAGTTTATATGTAGTTAGAGGTCAAATTAGGATGCAAGCATAAAGATGTTTTTGAAAAGCGTTTAGTATAGTATCATATAGCCTTTATAGCAAATCAGTTATATATTAAGCTTATGTTTAATGTCAGCCAAGGGAGAACTGAAAGATGAAGAACAGGTATCAAAGGCACAACTGGGAGCATTCTTTGCAGCTATGACGATTCGTGCCAATGCATTTCCAGAACCAACTCAATGGAGTGAAGGGGAAAGGCGTGCAATGGATGCATATTGGCCACATTTGGTTCGAACGCTACCTTCGGATATAATATTTCTAGCTGATCCAGAAGGTTCTATAATGAGACTTGGGAGTTCAATTGGGCCACAATATGTTGGCAATGGAAGTTATGAAATGAGACTCGTAGGTGCCCTGAGGGAAATCTTAGCCGGTGGTCATCTTGGGTATGAAGAAGTTCAAGGTGTTCTAAAAGAAGTTCTTCCACTGAAGTTGGAACACGGTACACCAGACGTTGTAAGTGAGTCACTATTATCAGCGTTCTTGATAGGTCAACGAATGAACAGGGAGACAGACCGCGAGCTAAAAGCATACTGCCTTGCATTTGACGATGAGCTTGGTACTAGTTAATAAAGTGGGCAACTGAAAGATCATATTAAGTGTGAATGTTCTATTTTGATATAATTTTATGGATCATTAGGTCCTGTGCCGGTAGCTGATGTTAGCTCATTGACTCATTATGGTGAACCTTACGATGGAAACACACGTTTCTTCAGGAGCACACTCTTTGTTGCTGCTGTTAGATCCTGTTACAATGAAGCATCCCTTCTGCATGGTGTTGACTGGATGCCACCAAAGGTTTTGTGACAATGTTAAACTGGCCATTATTGAAATTTGTTATGGAAAAATGCATCAAAATGCAAAGAAGTTTGCCTTAGTTCCCATTTAATGTAACAAAGAACCTTTTCCTCAATTAATGTAACTAAGTTTCAAAATTCCCTATTTATTGTTACAAAAGGTTCAAAATTGTATCTGATCTTGTAACATTTGATGACGTGGATATCAAATTTATAGTCCACTTCGTCGTAAACCTTTAGTAAGCGGGTATCCACGCATCAAAAGTTTTAAGTTCAGCAAGGTATCGGTCAAAATGGGTACAAACTACAAAGTAAGATATTTTAAACTCTGTTACATTGATTGAGAAAAAGAAATTGTTACACTGAATAAGAACTAAACCAAACTTTGTTGCATTTAGCCAGCATTTCGTGTTTGCCCTTTTTTAAATGGAATGAATTCTCCATTTCATATAGTAGTACAACTTATGCAAAATGATATGGTGGCTTTGACAGGGTGGCATAACTGAGGAACAAATGCTTAAATTCATGGGAGCAAATACTAATATAACACCATTGCAGGCTAAAAAGCTTCTTGAGGTCTTTGTTATTTCCTACATTTTGCTTCCAATGCAATTGCTTTTCTATTTTCATGATGACATGCTTTTGAAAAAATGTATTTTCAGGATGAAGCAGTTGGTTTTGCTTATGTGAGTCAACGGGATGCTCGCCCCTCCTTGTAAGTAGACGCACAAGACCCATTTTGTTCATTGTACAAAAATGCAAAATCATTGAATCTAATATGATAAGCGCATATGCCATAAAATAATTATTGCATAAACTAATATGAAAAATGAACTCTCTTGAGTTGAAGTTTTGATTGTTCAAAATTGATAATTAGGAAACATAATAACAATTATTTGAAAATTAAATAGAAGTACTAATCCAAATAAATCACGGGCCTGTTATTTTCTTGGCACTCGAAAAATGGTCACCCTGTACGCATACATTTTGGGTACACCTACTCATATCGTTCAGGTACACCCACAATAAGTGCAATTTTTTGCTAGGTCTGACAAGTAATATCCATATGGTTTATGCAGATATTCATTAATTGAGATGAGGGAACATATAAAGAAACGCCCATCATTGGCAACAACTGAAAAGGTTCAGCAATTTGTGAGGGTAAGCTTGCATTTACTTCTCTAATGCTCAAATCCCCTAAAATCATGTACAAATACAGAAAATCGATCCTTTAGTTTGCATAATGCAGTAAGAACTTGTAAAAACAATATGTTATAACTTATAGGCTACAGGTAAAGAAGCAATCGTTGCAGGATTCTACCATGAAGGTTATGAAGAACCGCTTCTAATGCTCATGAGACGAAGAGGTGTTCAAGCTGGTTTGGTGGTGAAGGTATGAACATTTCGGTAGTTATCATGTCGTGTCTAATCCGGAACATGGTAAACACTTGACATACAAGAATCACTTCTAAACAGCCTCTCTGCCGCTTGGGGGTAGAGATAAGTTTTGTGTACATCTTACCCTCCTCCAACCCTACTCAGGGACGGACCCACTGTATTAGATATGGTAGCACGGGCCACCGCTTTGTTCCTCCGTCGTAATGTAAAAAGTTATAGGGTTGTGAAAAGTGCCACCGTACCATTTGTTGTGTGCCACTGTATATATTTTGGAACTAGAACAAGAACACAAATTTCCCTTGGTAGAGTTGGTTTGCAAGTCTTAACTTCCACCCCAGCTCTGTGTTCGAATCTTGAATCTCATTTTCTTAACTTTTAGCTTTTAATTTCAGATTATTATGTTTCATTTTTTTTTTGCGATAGAAGACTTGAATCCAGCACCTCACTTATGAAAAAACAATGAACTAACCAACAGACCAATGATGATTTTGTGAAAATATACATATATTTGTTTCTTATAGTCAAATGATGCCACTGCTTGAATTTTTTTCTAGGTCCTTCTTTGACCCTACTCCATGTGGGATTCACTGGTTTGGTTTGATGTGGTTGTACTCCCTCCGCCCCCCAAAACAATTGTCCACTTTAGAAATAAATATCTACTTTCCAATTCCACCCTTCATTATGAGATGGAGATTTTCATTACTCCCTTCCATTAAGGGTAAAATTGTCTTTTAGTTAATTAAAAGGTGTAATAATTACACATTTCTAGAATATTGTTTTTTTCATTGTGGACATTTATTTTGGGATGGAGGTAGTACAGGAACTATTGCTCTAGTAGTATTAGCATCTTTGCGCTAGTTGCTAAAGCGTTATTCAAATCTTTTTGTCAAGTAAGAAGTGGAAGTTATTAAATGTAGGGGGAAGAAGGGGCGCTTTCAATGACAACGAGATTGCGATCAGTAAATGCGTCAAAAGGACTTCCTGTTAACTACTGCTCTGGTTTCCGTTCACTCAACACCCCATCAGCATATGACGTGGACGGTACGTGCAAGCGTACTCTGTATCATGTTGATGTCTTACATGCTGTAGAAGCTTAGAAGCTGTATAACTAAGCTTATCAGAACTTTGTATGTTTTCTATTTGGTGGTATTTACAGGAGTGTCTCGTGAAAATTTTTCCTTAATAGTGGACGCAAAGGAGTATGGTTTTGAACCCTTGGAGACTCCAAGAACTGATAGATCGGTAAGATTTTAGGCTTTTTATGATCTTTTTGTTTAATGAAAGCTGTAGTAACTAGTAAGCATAGGGATACCAACAAGATGAGTACAACATCCCCTATCCCCACTTTCGTATTACTTGATCTTTGTTGTTATCGTCAGACCCATTTTGGCAAGAGATAGGACAGGCATAACAAAACGTGTTCCACGCTTAGTGGGACGTTTAGACTGATTAAGTACCGAGTGGGACAAAAATGCCGTTTTCTTGTCCCACTAAAATAGGTGGAACAAAAACCAGGAAGATGGCCAAGATTGGTAGATTACTAAAATGTTCATGTCATATTAAAATTCTAAAACCTTGAAGAATTCTTTCATCTGCCTACCTCATTTTGCATACGAAATGCACCCTAAGAGCATCTCCAACAGATCCTTCAAAATGGAGAATCAAAAGTTCAAATCTCAAAATAAAATTTATATTCATCTCCAACGGCTTCTCTATTTTGGAGATTACAATTTGAATTATATTATTAAAATATTCAATACCTTTCATAAAATATTGTTTTTTCTCTCTTATATACTTAATTTTAAAAAATCTCATTGGTAGGAAGAATAAAAAATAATTTTTCTTTCATAGTAATCATTTTTTGGAGAGTTCTCCATATTTGGAGAATTCACCTAATCTCTCCTACTTTCTCCATTTTGGAGAAGTTTTTGGGGAATCCGTTTGAGCAAAAATCCTCAAGATCTCATTTTGCAGAATCTGTTATAGATGCTCTAAATTAAGTCCCATATGGACAAAGATGTATGTATGCATTAAGGTTTTTGTTTGGGAGAGTTTTTCAATAGATGGAATGGACATGTTTTTTAATTGGGAGTGATAGGTTTGGGTAAAACTTGGCTTTCTTACTTAATAAGCCACTTCTATATTGTTAAGCCACTACCAAACAATTATATATAGCTGAAAACATAATTTGCGAGTCTCATCAAGCTCATTAAGCTGTTAATAAACAAGCCCTTACCCATCTACCGTTCAAAATGACTTTATTCTCTATTTCTCTCACACAAAAGTTTAGACCTTTGATTGCTGTCTCAAAATCTTGCACAAATGTTTGAAATTCCAGGTTTCAAAGAACATAGAACTGGGATTAGCAGCTTTACATGGAGAAAAAGGACCTGCGTATGACCGGATCGTATTAAACGCCGGGATGGCTGATCACTTGCTTGGATGCAAGGGTGCGCAAGACGTATCAACCGCCCTCGATAGAGCCAGGGATGCAATCGACAGTGGCAATGCTTTGAATCGACTCATGAATTACATAAAGATTTCTCAAAAAGTCAAATAATTTGCTGGTGTGATACTCTCTTTTGATCTCCAACACACATTTATATTTGTCCCCAAAAGGTTTTGTTTATGTACCAAATGTTAAAAAAGTTGGATACTATGAGACATTAAATACGAGCTGAGATGAATTCTTGAGGTTTTTGATTACTATCAGTAAGGGTGTGTTTGGTATCCAGGTAGGACATGACAGAACACGTATTGTATTCGTGCCGGTGTGATATTTTTCTTTTGATCTCCAACACATAGAACACATTATATTTGTGCCTAAAAGGATTTTGTTTCTGTACCAAATGTTACAAAGCTAGATACTATGAAACATTAAATACGAGCTGAGATGAATTCTCGAGGCTTTTGATTGCCATTAGTAAGTTGCGTTTCGTATTGAAACAGGACATGACAGAACAACTATTTAGCGTTTAGACGGAGAAAAGATAAAATGATCAATTTACTTTAATGAATTGCTTATATCTTTTATATATTTTGATTAAGTTACATAATTTATTAAATTATAATAAAATTTATATATTTTTATAATAAAATATATCATTAGAAATTTTTTATCGAAAACAAATTAAAATGACACGCAAATAAACAAAAAATTTAGTTTCCAATTTTTATATTATTAATACTTAATAAATTACATATTAATCAAAATATATAAATTGCATAATGTTTTGAGAATAATAAAATAAAAGTTTAAAGAACATATTATAAATAAATAAACATTAAAGAATGAATAAAATGTAAAGAGGGAGGTGCATTAGATGTTTTAAAAGAGAATTAAGTTTTGTTTTGAGTTATATTGGTATAATATAGGTGTGTTCCACCTTATTCTATGGGGTGGAGTGAAACAGTAGTCCCTGTCCTATAAGTGCACACAAATCAAGAAAACGGCATACAAAAATTGAGATCATTTGATTGGTCAGAGAAGTCTGCCTTTATTAACCTAAACAACAATTAATGATGTTAATATTTGGGGACTCTTTTTGGAACCAAATCTCTCTATAATTGGAAAGAGAGAAGAACAACGGACAAAAAAACTAATATCTTTATATTTGCAGGGTGGCTGCTATTGAACTAGCAAGGCTCAGGACTTCAAATGGAGCTTTATTCTTCACTTCCTTCACTGTCAAAGGACACGAATCCGTAATCCAAAAGAATGTCAATCCGCTATCCGGGTGTCCTGAGAAGTTTATGGTAAAAGGACGATCATAATTAGGGGTGGAGATTTTGTGTCAAGCTAAACTAATCAACTGTATACCAACTGTACCGATTACAATCAGTTGGTAGTACTGTACCAACTATGTAAACTTGGTTGGGATATGGTATTAGAAGTTGCATACCATAGTTCCGACTTATTTAATTATTTATTAGTTTTTGAATTTTATAATGTATTTAATATTAAACTTTGTAACTTTAACTATTTTGTTTGAACATTTGAATGTTTGCAAGTTCTATTCTTGGGAAATTTACATAAATAGTCAAAGCTGACACGTGGTTTCACTTTTAGTCATTTTCTAACCCAAATTCACTTTTTAGCCAATCCTTACGCAAAAAACTTACCCATATGCGTAAGGGTTGGTTTTCGGCCAAGAAAAAAAGAAACCCTACGCAAATGCGCAAGATTCTTTTTTTTTTTGCCGAAAACCAATCCTTGCCCATTTGCTTTAGCCCGTAAGGATTGGCTAAAAAGTGAATTTGGATCAAAAGGCTAAAAAAAGAAGCTCAATTAGCTGATTGACTATTTATGTCAATTTTCCTTTATTTTTTGAAACCCTTAAACATCATACGTAACTTGAAGTTGGTACATGTTACAGTTGGTTGGTACACAATATAAGATTTTGCGTACCGATTATAATTTGTTGGTACATGGAATTGGAGGAAAAAAAACTGGTAGCATACCAATTCCACCCCTAATCAAAATGCAACGCATTTGAGATGGGGAACTAACATGCAGAAAAGAGAACAACAAAATTGAATATGTACCTCCGGTATCATGTGTGAACCGCTCCCAGGACCTTTTAGGAAAAACACCATGAGTCACATATGCGCTAACTTTTTTCGCTCCATGTTTTGCCAACACTTTCTACAAAGAAAAGGAGTCAAACGTTTTGTGGGCAGTGATCGAAAGCAATAAGTTGCATTTTACAAACAACCAAAGTAGTGAAGGTCAAAATCACACTCATAAAGAAAATTACCGAGGGTTTGGGTCATCCTTTTTTTCCTTTCAAGTTTACTAAAAGAATAATTAGATATATTTTTTATCAAAACATTAGAATTTTGTTACAATTTCCATCTCTTCTCCAAAGAAAAAGCAGATCCCTAAACTCTGCACCATCAATCTGCCAAGTGATTTCGCTTGGGTTCCTTGATCATAGCTATGTGTCACAGCAATCAAAAAGCTTAAGCTATGATCATCGATCTGTATTCATCGTCTCAATAGTATTGAATTCAATCTTGAGGGCCCGCTTAACTAACAAATAGAGGGTTCTTAACTCAACTAACATTTTAAAAAAATTACGAAAATAACACAAAAATACGTTTTTTTCAAAAAACCCCCATCCATTTCTCCAAAAAATTTCAGAAAGGAAAAAGAGCCTACAAAAATCCATGTGGGACCCACAAAAATCTGGAAAAATGGCCTACAAACTAATTTTTGGCAAATGAATTTCTCCATCATTGTGGGCCCTTTCTCTGAAAAAAATGGAGAAATGGAAGGGTTTTTTTTTAAAAAAAAATGTATTTTTGGGTTATTTTTGAAAATTTGGAAAAAAGGTTAGTTAAGTCAAGAACCCATAAATAAAGGCTAAGCATTAGGGTTTCTCCCCATAAGTTGCCAATTTGTCCCCTCAAGCCGCTCTTAAAGGCCAACGCGGATTTTCCTGGTTGTTATCTTTAAGCCCCATTCGGTTAGTTAGGTGTGCACAAGTTGGCCCAGACGCCCACGGTTTAAACAAAAGCAGTACTGAATTCAGAGTGGTCTGACACTAGTTTTATGAGTTTGATCAGTGTGGATAAATCTTTACAACGTCTTTCAAGTTCCAGCAACTCAACCCATCGTGAACCCATATTTAGGCTTAGCAGCTCGACCAAATTTGCCAGTGTTTTGGTGCTTTCAATTATGGTAATATATGATGTAGTGATGGTGCCTAAGCCATGACATGACGAGGGACCCACCTTATACGCCCGAAAGAGAAAAGTATGCATTCCAAAAATGAATGAACGATTCAGATAATTTATATCTTGACTATTCATAGACCTATTCCAATTAACTTTTCCCAGCTTACGGATCTTACTTGACATCACAGTTGCGATCAATTCCTTATGAGAATCAAATAACATAAAGCATGTGATCTAGATTCTTTCTTGATTAGGGAGGCAAAGGACATGAATGAAAAAAGTAAGATAAAAAATATAAAATATCAATACAGTGAAAGAATTTTGTCAGTTCCGCACCTGGCATTCAATCAGGGTTCCACCTGACTGAACAAGATCATCAACTATCACAACATGACGTCCTTTAGGGTCTCCCTCTTTAATGCGTACAATTCGTTGGTCACCTTCTCTAACTTTTGCACAAATAATCTGCAGATAGAACAACCAGCTAGTAATAGCAAGCAACAACGAGGGAAACATTAACAATGGCGGATGAAGGCATGGCTAACATAATTATAGATAAAGATGTGTGCATGAACTGGAAGTCATGAACATCACATTTGTTTTGAGAAGTAAATGTTTGCCTAGTGAATCTAGCCACATCCCACAAGCACACTATGAGCATTCTGTAGATAAGTAAACCTCCCAACATGAGAATCCAAGTGAAATGAATACTGATCAGCGGTAAGATTTTACTAAGCTAATAAAGAGAAGAAATAGAACAAAAAAAAAAAAAAACTTATGTCACATACCACTGGGAAGTGCTGCAGCTGCTTGTGAAACCGTTTCCAAGCACCGTCGTCTGGAAAAGCAATGGATATCTTTTTTTTCCCAGTGAAGATGAAGAGAGAATCAGTATAGTAATTTCAAATAACATCAAGATTCGATGCAAAACAAGAAAGAGCAGATTGCAGTTTATAGATGAGAAAGAAGTAGCCAAAAACTTGACATTAGATAGACAGACATGCCAAAGCATCAAAAGTAAGGAGAAACTCATCAGCTTGGTAATTCATGGTTGACTTCTTCACTTATCTATAACCTGCAGTCCAGGACCATCTTTAGCATGTTAAATATGGGTTTTTGAACAGGCCCCCCAAAAATTTTGGGGTTCAATTTTACTTGTGTTCAGGGCCTGATTTATATAGACCTGTAAACCAACCTCAATGAAGACCTATCTAATTTCTTTCAAAATCAAAAGCGGCAATTTAATTTCAGAATTTGCCAATCAAAAACAAAAACGACTCCTCGATATTTTTTCCATTTTGTCATCTTAAAACATTTCAGATGATCTATAGTTGTAGTACGGGTGTAACAGGGCCTCCAAAAAGATTGTGACGTGCAGTTGTTTGGTGGTTGTTATTAATCTAGGCTAATGCATGTGTCAACGTTGAGATGTTAATGGCAGCCATAGCTCATCTTTGTTTTAGAGATTTCTAGTGTTCGAAGTCCCTATGCTCTTTATAATTGTCAGTAAAGCTTGAAAATATAAGGATTCATGCACTTCTCTTTGATAATATTGTTATATTTAAATGATGTACACTTATCCTCGGTATCTGTTTTTCTTGTATCACCGGAACAACTAGCTGATAAGAATTAAAAACTTAACAAGGTAGTTTGATTCATGTACACAAACAAGGAACTCATGACCACCCAAGAACCTCCTAGTGAATGCAGAATGAAAATTCGAGTTCCATACTGTTATTTAAAATTGAGTCATTTAAGTCCAATCCTCCCATCACATCCAAGTTAGGTGCTACCATGTCAACCCTTGTATAGATATACTAATGCTGCAGTCACAATCATGCAGGAAAGTGAGGCCTACTGCATAATGAAGCCAATACGAAGATAAGTTACAGTGCATAACTACCGTACTAATATCAATCTCTGCTTTAGAACTACCAGAGCAACTATGTGATCAAGAGTATATAAGTGTTAACCAACCAGCATAACAAATCGTGTTCCAGGAAAAGAACTTTACATTGTCAGAGTCCGGTAGCTGTTGAAGTCTACTTTTAAGCAAAGGAATCCCACTCTCAAAGCATGGTAATACATTATCATCAAAGTAGAATCTTTCCTGCACAAACCCATTACCCATGGATGGGGGAAAGTAAATACCACAACAATCCTTATACACAAACTAGCTGAGGTAGGCTACAAAAGAAATCGAAGATAACAAAGCACATCAAAATCATGAATGGAATAGAAAAGCTCTATGGATAATGGAACCAACCTGCAAGGCATGGATATCATATATTACCACGCTAGTAGGTCCTCCCCTCGATATTGGAATGTTTGACAAGAATCTAGCAAGAGTGAAAGCCGTTGCAATATCTCCTTCATCCTCCATGCGCTCAGAAGTGCCGGTAGGAAAGAAAGGAAGAACTAAAGTGAAGGAGGAAATGAACAGCTTTGGCAATGCATAACTAATTGATAGTTGCTCAAAGATAACTCCAGGAGAACTAAATGATGCTAGGAAAGCTACATGCTCTCCTCGGATTCCATGCGCATTAGGTATGGACAAGTTTGGAAATCCATCTTCAAATTTCCTGATGTTAAAAGATTATGTCGACAGAAAACAAGCCGTCTTCACAATGAGATGAAACATTACATATACAGCAGGATATATATACTATAGCCTTTTCTACATATCTTTATTGGTGATTGAAAAAAAGAATATTATAGCATAACCAATGTGATCTACTTGCTTTATGCAGAAAACGTTCTAATATCAATTTAAGTGGCTGAAAATATGTGATCTGCTTGCTTTATGTAGAAAACGTTCTAATATCAATTTAAATGGCTGAAAATAAGTGCGGGTGGTATTCTTAGAACACCCAGTTCCTGAAAGCTGCTGCAAACTCAAGATATGTAATTTTCTGTAATTCCTAATCTTTTGTGTCTGAAGACAAAATTCACAAACATATCTACAGATTATGTTTTGTGCTTCACAAGGCAAACATTAAACCACGCTTACAAAAAATGGCGAAAAAATGTGGCAGTCAAAGGTAAAAACATACATAATCCATATTGCATATTGGTATTCCCTACTTGCTCTTACTGTTGGGATGAATCAAGGGAGTAAATTCCTGTGTCATGCCGGTATCCGGTTTGTGTAGGTATTAGAGCGCCACAACAGATCAACAAATATGAACATGAGAATCAGCATCGACCTTTCAGAAACGTTAACTACCACAAGGATATCTTTTCATGTATGGTATAACTTCCTGTTCTGGATGCATGTTAATGCTCATTCAATACGTAGCACCATAATGGATTCCATTACGATCCATGTTAGCCTAACGAATCTTAATTAGGACTACATGTGAGGGTGGCAATAAGGATACAACTCTAGTGTCGATAGAGAATTTCTTAATTCAGTTCATATGATGCGACTACTACACTCGTTACCGATTGATTTTGCCATGTCGTGCCCATAGAGAATTTCAAAAAGTATACACTACTTTTGGTTCAAAACATGATAAAAATTCCAGTATATACATTACATTCAGACAAATTACACATCATTAAGCACACAATCGCATCGAATAAGTAAAAAATATACCTCCAATTTATACTACGAAGCTCAATTGCATCGGATTGAGCCGCAATTCTCTTCGCAAGCGCCTCCATTTCAGCGGCATAAAAGAGGCAAACCTTCTTAGAACTTTTCAATCCGGAATTCATCGGCATCGGAGATGCTGTAGCAGCAGGAGGCTTAAGGATAATGTGAATTGGATCACTTCCGGCAACACAATCAACAGTCCACTGTAGTTGCTGTTGCTGTTGGTGATGGTGATGAGATCCGTTCTCAAATCCGCTTTGTTCACATTGAATGCGAGCCCTATTGCGGCTCAGAAACCGTTGACGGTGGAAAGAGGAGTGAAATAATGCAGTAGCGGTTTTAATTAGGGGTTTGTTTGTGTACGGCAGCGACGGAGGCGGTGGTGCCGGTGAGGCTGCCATCTGGTGGCGACGGTTGGGGAGATATTCGCCGGATTCCCGAGTTTTCTGATGATATATGCGAGTTTTCCGGTTATGGAAGGCCTCCCTGAGGTGAAGGTGGGACTGGTAATAGTGATTTCCTTTTTTCACTTTTCCAGATAAACGTGCATGTGTTGTACTCTATGCATAAAATGATGTAACGGTTTCTGAACTTAGAAAAAAGTGCTCTTTCTTTTTGGTTTTTATGCTCCAATAATGTAACCTCCATCTTTACTTTAATTTTCTTTGTTTATATTATTTTGAGTAAATTATATTTTTAGTCCTTATAGTTTGTTGATTGTTTATGTATTTCTGGAATTGCGGCTTTTATTCTTGTGATTTGTGATTTATCGTTTCTTTCACCTCTATGATTGTTTACACTTTATTGTTGTTTTTGTACTGGGGTTTACAATTCGTCCCTCATGTAACATGGGTGTGTTCATCGGTTGAAATTCAATGAATTTTGGTGGATCTAATACAATCATCCATTGGGTGTTGGATTTTGTTATATGATATAATCCGATAAACATTAGCATCCGATCTGATCCAAATCCAATGGATTATTGGATCAGATCGGTTTCATCCATTAGATGCACTATTGGTTATCTATTAGATCGGATTTGATTCATCTAATCTTTTGATCTAATACTCAACGGATTATTCACATATTTTTTTAAGTTATTAAAAAACAATGTACATAAATATCAACAAAAAAAATCATAAAAAATTAATAATTATATATAGTTATTAATTGTATATTAGTTGAATGATAATTGGATGGTGAATTTGATGGTCATTGGATTGGATTGGATCATTTAGGTTTTATTGGATGTTAGAATGTCATCCAAAAACCTACAGATCTGATATGGATATTGAAATTTTGGATCCGATTATAGTTAGTTGATTATAATTAAATCGGATGACTTTTTACACACCCTTCATGTTTAAAGGTAAAAATTTAGTCTCAAAGACAGACAATACATACCATAAGAACTAAAACTGTGATTTCAATGTTCGAACATTTTTTGTTTTCACGTGAAAATTCAATATTATTTTGCTAAGATTTAATGTTTTTTTAACGTGTCTGTTTAGTGGCGGTGTTTGGTTAGAAATATCAAGCAATATTCAGTATAAATTATAATAAAATAAATTGTTTAGTTTTATATAATATAATGAGTTTATTCTACTAGAAACCCAAATTTTCATTTCGGGTTAAACTGAGGGTGAATGAAAAGTCATTCTCATTTTCATTCTCCAACATAAACCAAACAGCTCATAAATAATCTCATTTGATTTCAAGTATATACTATATGGGCATACATGTGCTGTTATTTTTGTCTTGCAAGAGCATCTGCAACATTTATCCATAACAAAGAATCTAAAAAAATTACATTCAATTCAACAACTTATTATTTAAAGATTACATAATTACTTATATTATTATAATCCTTAGTACATTTAATTTTTTTGTTTTTGTTTTATTAACTTGGATATCCAACCTGTTATACGAGACGACTAATCTCAGGGCGACCAACCGTTTTGTGGGTAACCCAGAGTCATCACATTTGAACTTTTGTGGTCAGAAGATGATTTTATTTCTCATTTGATTTAAACATGGAACCTCCTGACATTTTTGACTTTTGGAGCTTAAGGTCAAATCAATCAAGCATCACCCTTATAGTTTAAAATATTGTTTTTTCGTCCTAGACGTTTAGTTCAACGAAAAAAAAAAATCATTTTTCTCTTCCAAACAATGATTTTTAGGGAGTTTTTCAAATTTAAAGAATTTTAACCATCTATCTCCTAAGGGTTTTTTACCAAACACTTACCAGATAAACACTTACAAGTAAAATTCAACGTTTTTACTTACCTTACCTGGTAAAATTTTAGTCCATCAAAAGAGGACACCATATGCAACAATTTATCTGATAAATACTAATCGGGTAAAAGTCGTCACTCTCACTTACCCGTTAAAACTTTTAATCCTTGTCATCGTTCTTACAAAGTAAGAGTTTCGGTTCTTACCATGTTTATCCCTAAAATAGGTGATCCGATAAGTGCTTACTAGATAAGCATTTTATAATTTCCAAAATTTTATTTTCTCAATTAAAGAATTTTTGAATATGCAATTATGCATGACCCAATTGAGAAAAGGGTTTTGTATCTTGGTCCAAGCCCATGATGGTTAGGCCCGTCAATTTGGGCCCATGGTAGGCTGTTTAAAGCTTTTGGGCTTTTGAATTGTTTTATTTTATATGGAAAACAATGTTTTTTAAGCTATAGTTAAATCTATATTATATTTTATTTATTTATTTAATTTTTATCAACCTATATATTCAATACGTTATATGAATTGACAGTATGATCACCAATTCGTGAGTAGTCGGGAGTCACCATATTTGAACCTCCGTGGCCACAAGGAGATTTTTATTCCTCCTTGAATTCGAATATGGGACCTCCAGACACTTTTGACTTTTGGAGTCAAACTCAAACCAATCGGGTACCACCCTTGTGGTTTATATTTTATTTATTATATCATACTTGTTGGATAGACAAACTACATGTCTTCAAAATTTGATACCGACTATTTTTGGAAAAATAGCTCTTATTTACCTTTTATCTCTTATTGGTTAAGAGGTTGGAGGTTTCAAATCGTTTGGTTTTTGATTTGTGAAAAGCTCTTACCATGCTCTGATTTAACAAATGGTGGAATCATGTCTTACCATCATTTTATTCTTCAATTTCTCTCAAAATCGCCTAGCCTCTTTGTTTCCCGTTCTGAACCTCTGTGTCTGCTTAATCGCTCCAACCTTTACGATTCATTCATCTCAATCCCGCTTTTGTTATGAGTGCACCACAAGTACCATTTATTGGACTATACCAGTTGATGTATTTTAGTTGTATTTGAATATGTTAAGAATGAACGATAGTATATTTTGGTAAGCTGGATTTCTAGTTCTATAAATCGATAACATAATATTCCGAGGGGTGAAACATACAACTACATACATTCAGACGTTTATCAGTTTACAAAAAACAAACTGTCTTAATGGTTTTATTTTCAGATTTCGACACCACCTCTTATCAGTCAGAAGTGAAATAAGACTTCAAACTTCAACATCTTTTAAAAGTCAAACAACACCTAAGACTTCCACTCTGTAAGTTGATCAACATTTTTTAAGTTTTTTATAAAAAAAGACCATCACGACTTCTGACTCGATTTAAGAGCCTGTCTAGTTGGTTTTCCATTACGTCATATATCGATAAAGTTGTATGTGTGGATTATCCCTTCTGTATATATCTCAAATATTTTTGTTTTTGAATTTTTTTCCTGATAAATGGAAGGAACACATTTTGAAATTAGGAGGGGTATGTTTAAAAAGCTTAGCTTTCTATATAAAACTCTCATAGAAGCTTATTGAATCCACCACTTTCTAACAATCATGTATAGCTGAATAAACAAGTAGCTAGTCCAATTAAGCTTATTAAGTTGCTAAGGGCTTGCTTGTTAGCAGCTTAATGAGTTTAATTATACTAACAACTTATTTAGTCAATTATTGATGATTGTTTGGTAGTGACTTAATGATATAGAAAATGACTTATCTAGCAAGCTTTTAAGGACGACTTTTATGTAGAAAATCAAGTTTTTTTTTTCCTTCCAGATATGACTATCCCAATTTAAAAAACATGTCACTTTTATCTATAAAAAATATTTACAAATAAAAATATTTTCAATCTATAAAGACAAATGATCAGTATCGGTGGCAAGATTTTATGTGATCCTAAAAGAACCCCAAGAGCCCAATTCCACTCGGCGCATCTTATTGTCGGTTACCTGCCATTATTGGGCTTGCGACGAGATTTTTGGTTAGAAGAAAGGGTGACGACAATGGAGATGGTGAGTCAATCTGAACCAGAAATTCCAAGTTTGAACTCACACCACACTAGTATCAATCACTTAGCTTTATCCCCAAAAGAAAACCTCATAATTTCCCCAAATAATCCATCTAGCCACTTTCAGTGGCTCTCAACTGTTCCCTCCATTATATCGTGTCATACCCTCACACTTGCCACCCCCACCTCTTTCTTTTTCTATACTAGAAGCGGGAACACACACTTCCCATTGTTCCAATTTCTCAGTTTGCTCTCCCATAAGGGTTTGGGCAGATAGTCCTTAGAACCCTTGTTCTTCACGTTTCGTATTGCTCCAGATAAGGTACAATTCATCTGAAGATCGATTGATCGAACTTTAAATTACTGATCTGTTAGAAAGCGAAAGTGATGATTGATTAATGGTTTTTGTGTTTTTACTATGTTGAATGTATTTTATTGTTGATTCGTTACGGTGTTTGACAATTTAGGAATTCGTATTGTATACACGAGTTTGCTATATTACTTTCATCTTCATTACGACTTTGCTAGATTAACTTCATGAATTGATCGATCTAGTGAACTCTCATTTTGTTGTTTGGAATTTGAATCGGAGCAAAATCATGTTTGAAATCGAGCTAAATGAGTTTTGATCAGGATTGGATTACCTTAAAACTCCATTTGTTCTAAGATTGATGAGAATCTTGTTGCAGGTTTTCTATTTGTACATCTTGTTCTATATTAACTATGGCTACCCCTATAGTACTCAAATTCGAAGTTGAAAGTTTGGGTCTGTTTGTTAGCAGCTTAATGAGCTTAATGGGACTCACAGCTTATATGGTCAGCTATACTTGACTGTTTGGTAGTGGCTTAATGATATAGAAAGTGGCTTATTCAGTAAGCTTTCCCGTTTGGGGGGGGGGGAAGCTTTATGCAGAAGGCCAAGTTTTTACCAAACCTGTCCCTCCCAATTAAAAAACTAGCTCCTCCTATCTATGAAATAACCCTCCCAAACAAAAACGTTCACAGTCTAGACAACTTTATCCATACAAGACTTGATGAGAAACCAACCAAACAGCCCCTAGCCTGTTTGACCAATATATTCTGCTGGCTAGCGAGTTAATGTCGATGATGATGATATCAAAGAGTTTTAGACTTTTCTTAAGCGAATAATGTTTATTAATTACTATGTTCTCATTCCCAACACAAATGCAACCGTTGGCTGGACTTATAATTTAGTGCAATCGCTTGACTATCAATTAAATATATAAAATACCATGGAATAGAGGGATCTAGTAGCCCTTGGGGGTGTAGCTCAGTTGGCAAAGGGGCAGAGCAACTTTGTTCAAATACACAACAGGTTGAAGTTCGGTCCTGCAGGAGACGTGCTTGAACCCCTTCGTTAGCCTCAACTGCTGAGTCAGTTCTGAAATGCCTCCTCACATGTAGGTCCTAGGGGGTGGGTTCCGTGTGGGGCCGGTTGGGGTTGTCGGTAATCAACTTTTTTGCTCAAATAGAGGGATTTGTGGACCAAAATGGACGCTATCAATATTTTATAATGAGTACTAATGGGCTAAACGATGGATGGAAACTCGCCATTAAAGGAAATGTTGTACTTATTCTTGGACAGAGGGAGTATACGGGTTTTATGTGTTCAGATTTACTGATAAATTTTATTTGTATGTTGATAATCTTGATATATAATAAAAATTGTGCGTATGTGTAACATACTAGTTAGATTTCTGCCTTTAACTTTTGTTCGAGCTGCTGATTGTATTCATGTGATCTTGTTAACAATTTCAGGCTAATAACTGATTTATAATCACCGGTGTTTGAACCACGAATCATGTCACGCAAAGCATTGGACTATGACCAGATTAACGAAAATGTAAAGAAAGCCCAGTATGCTGTAAGGGGTGAACTGTATCTTCGTGCTTCGGAGCTTCAAAAAGAAGGCAAGAAGGTACGACCCATCACCCCATTAACCTCAAATAAATGAAGAATGGTCAATTGATTCCACAGTATTGTCGCTAGATGTACTTCTTGAGTGAATGTTATTAATTTGAATCCATAATCTGCTAGCTATAGTTTATCTTAGTTGCTTACTGTTTTCTGTTTCTTCATTGACAATTTGTTATTGAGCTTCTAATTGCTCAAAGATTTTATTGGTTATCGTTAGGATCTATAATTATACATAGAAGATACTCACAATAATAGTTGCAAGAAACAAAAGTAGGACAAGCCGGGGTTATTCATGGAAACAAGCACTCTACTTTTTTGGGGTAGAGGTCAAGTCTGCTTACATCTCATACCCTACCCTACTTTTGAGTGGGATTTCTTGGGTTCGTTTGGTTTGGTTTGGTTTTAGAAATAGGAAATCAAACACAAAATATATATGTGGTTCAACAATTTGTCTACATCCATGATCGTTGCTTGAATATTATTATATCTCTTGAAATTTCAATAGTGCACATACATCAAAGGAAGTCGAGCCCCCTTTAAGTGAAAATAAAAACCAAAGAGTAACAATTAAGTGATGATAGAACAAGTTAGTGATGGCTCACCGGTTTAACTATCCCTTGCAGATTATCTTCACAAATGTGGGCAATCCTCATGCTTTGGGACAGAAGCCTCTAACATTCCCTCGTCAGGTTTGTGCTAATTAAGTTCAATATTTTTGTCAATTCTTATATTACTGAAGTTGTTCCCTTCATTTCAATTGGCGTTGGGTATGGATTATGTTCTTATGGACATAGTTTCTCTTTCACCATGCTAGAAAGGTACTCCTGAAAAGTGTACATTTGATTGATCAGGGCATCAATGAGTAGATGGAATAGTGGGCCATGGATGAGATATAGATAGCCCTAGAGGAAGCCCTAACATGCATAGATTGACATAAATGCCATATATCTAACAAGGAGGAAGTTCATTAATGAACTATAAATATTTTGAGCACTATGAGAACCAATTTTTTATGAATTATTCATATGAGTATACCTAAATATTTATGAATATCATGCTTTTTCATTATTTATGATATTCATCATGAATAGTTGGTTCTCAAATGAACCTGCACCTATCTAACAAACCAAATATATATATATCGTTGCAGGTGGTTGCTCTTTGCCAGGCTCCATTTCTTCTTGATGATCCGAATGTGGGACTTGTATTCCCAGCTGATGCGATTGCAAAAGCTAAAATGTACCTTTCTTATACAGCAGGGGGTTTAGGTATTGTTTAGAGATCCCTTCTAATGACACTAAAATTTTGTCTATTGTTTTCACAGTTTTCCTTCTTTTGGAAGTAACAATGTCTTTTTGATCCTTTAGGTGCTTACAGCGATTCCCGTGGTCTTCCTGGAATAAGGAAAGAAGTTGCTGAATTCATCGAGAGACGTGATGGGTATCCAAGGTGATAAGCGAGTATCTATTATTCTCTCCATTATCCCAGATCAAGCCGGGGATGTTCATGGAAACAACCGCTCTATGCTTTGGGGGTAGAGTCAGGTCTGCTTACATCACAACCCCCTTACTCCCATCTCCGGGTGGGATAGGGTCAAGTTCAAGGGAAAACTGTAAAAAAATGAAAAACTGAGGAACACCCTGGTAACTGTTCATCTGGACGGTATGCACATGTGCATACAAGTAATTTGTAAGCAATTTGTCCAGTATAAAAACCAAAAAACAGCTTCAATTACTTTTATGCACATGTGCATACGGTCCAGATGAATGGTTATGATGGTGTTCCTCAGTTTTTTATTTTTTTGGGGTTTTCCCCTGAACCTCCTTGGGTTGGGATATACCAGGCTTGTTTGGTTTGGTTTGGTTTGGTTTCATTGAACTTTATAAGAAATATTACCAAGGGAAAATTGTTGACTTTAAGTTTGTAAAGATTGCGTCTTTTGCAAATTTGAGAAGTAATTAGGTTGGACTTCGAAAGTAATTTGTACCTTTATTGGTCCCTGAACTAAGAATGCTATTATAATTGGTGACAGTGATCCAGAACTCATATATCTCACTGATGGTGCCAGTAAAGGAGTAATGCAGATGTTACAAACCATTATACGTGGTAACGGTGATGGGGTATGTAGTTTTTCTCTCTTCAATTGCTCTTGGGCTTGAATTTCCCCCTTCGCACACTCTCAGTGTACCACAATATAGGATCTTTTGCTCACAACACAAAAATTAAGAAAATATCTTATTGTTTTGATATGCAAATTGCCACACCAAATATACAACTAAAGATTCATAATCTAATATCACTTTTGTAACCATACATCTATGAGAATCATGTTAGGATTGATTTTGTAGGAAAATTTGAGCCACAATGCGTGAAATTTGATAAAGAAATAGTTTGACAGAAGCTCATTTAAACCAAACCGAACTTATCCAACCCAAATGCAGGGTCTTGGGGGTAAGATATATGCAGACCTTTTCTCAAGAGATAGAGAAGAACAAGGAAAACATTCATCAAGAATATACTTTATATAGCACCAAGATACCAATTTAGTTTTCATGTTTGTATAATGAATATTCTCGTTTCTTTAGATTCTGGTTCCAGTCCCTCAGTATCCACTATACTCGGCTGCCATATCTCTGTTTGGTGGTGCTCTTGTACCATATTACCTGGAAGAGACGGCTAATTGGGGTCTAGACATCAACAACCTTCGCCAGTCAGTTGCAGAAGCGCGCTTTAAAGGAATAACTGTATGGTTTGATTTGCTTATCTCATTTCTAATCTCATTTAGGGTCTGTTTGTTAGCAGCTTAATGAGCTTAATAAGACCTACAACTTATTTGGTTAGTTATGCATGACTGTTTGGTAGTGGCTTAATGATATAGAAAGTGGCTTGATGCTTATTCAATAAGCTTTTAGAGGGGAGCTTTATGCAAAAAGTCAAGTTTCTTATAAAACTGCTAATTTCATTTAAAAAACGCGCTCATACCATCTGTAAAAAAACCCTCCCAAACAAAAACACACTCAATCTGTACAGTCAAATTAATCCATATAGTCAGTTTTATTCATACAGGACTTGGTGGAAAACCAACCAAAAGCCCCTTAGTGTTCCCCATCTCCTATCCTACACATCGTGGAGGTGGGACTGGCTCAATTCATAGAGACTTGTAAAATTAATAGTAAATTCTTCAAATATAATTGCACCTTCCATCAAAAATTAAATGCCCACATTTCTGTTTTAGTTTGTTCCAAAGTAAGTGTCCATTTTCATAAGGCCCTCTCCAATTCTCCCCTTAATTATGGGATTGAGAAATTCATTACTCCCTATTTTATTACGGGTAAAATTGTCATTTAATTCATTAAAAAGTTCAATAATTACACATTTCTAGAACTGTGTGCCTTTTCATTGTGGGAACTTGTTTCGGGATGCAGGGAGTATAATAAACCATTTATTTTGAGAGAGTATAAAAACCATCGCTAAAAACTTCCAATTGGAAGTTTCCAATAGGCTAAATAAAATATGAATTGCAAAATGGCTCATATAAGCTTATAGCATCATCAGGCCAAAAATTTCTTCAATGAGATTATATGAGTTGCTTTACATCTAATTTCCGTTCTTGATAATATGCTTATAATTATAATTAGGTAAGGGCGATGGTGATCATAAACCCAGGAAACCCAACTGGACAATGTCTTAGTGTGGATAACCTGCAGCAAATACTGAGATTTTGTCACCAAGAGAACTTGGTCTTGCTTGGAGATGAAGTTTATCAGCAGAACGTTTACCAGGATGAACGGCCATTTATAAGTTCCAGAAAGGTAATTCCTTCATGTTATGTTGAATTAGAATGTATAGTTTGACTTTTGAGGTCAAACAAACTTGTTTCAACTTCAAATTTTACTTATATTCTTGCAATTTCATTGAAAATTTTGGATATATTTGTTAGAACTGCATAACATATGCTACAAACAAGAAATCTTGGTATTGAATTCGTATCATATGTGATGTTAATATTGAATTTCTGAAGTAGTAAGTGACCTCAAAAGTTAAATTTAGCTTTTTTTCTTCGGAGGAGTGTGTTGGGATATTGTGGAGGAACACCAGGCTTGTTATTTACCTTTTCTTTTTCATACTTGAAGGTATTGTTGGACATGGGCCCACCAATTAGCAAGGAGGTCCAGCTTATTTCTTTCCACACTGTGTCAAAAGGGTTCTTAGGTGAATGTGGACAGCGTGGTGGATACTTTGAGATGACAAACATCCCTCCCCAGGTTTGTACACTTCTGATTTTTGGGGCTGCCAAATTGTTTGATCCATGCTAGTTCAAGAAATATTTTAAATGAATGTACCGTTTTACCCTTATCAAGGTAACTTCTAAACCGGAAACCTAAACATTACACTACCGAATGTTGTATCTGATGCTGCAGACAGTAGATGAAATATACAAGGTTGCATCGATATCACTCAGTCCCAATGTTCCTGGGCAGATATTTGTAAGTTGACTTTTAAATGATACATCGAGCATATTTAATATTTCCCATAAATTAATAGTTTTTAAGCTTGTTATAGATGGGAGTAATGGTCAGCCCCCCAAAACCTGGTGATATCTCGTATGACAGGTTTCTTAGGGAGAGGTAAGACACCTCATTTAAATTTATGTCCTGTTTTATCTCACTGCCTTCCTTATTTTCAAGTTCTATTTCTGCAATTATTTTGAGCAAACTTTTATCATTTCTTTTTGCACACTTTGCACATTGAAAGTCTTCATGGAAATTGGAAACAACTTAGCTTTACTTTTTTGGGATAGAGGTCAGGTTTGTGTATATCTTGGGCCCCACCTCGGATGGGACATCTGGGCTTGTTTGGTTTGCTTTGGATGTCCCATGAATGTTGCAGTATTTCTTGTCTTGGTGAACTTTCAAGCTAAAATTATCTATTTTCCCGTTTTCATCGTTACAAATGTTTCATGTTCTTGATCTATATATAGATCACTTATTTTGTCGTTATTGAAGGTATATTAGACATTTTATTACTAAATCAATGCAGATTTTATCACTATCAAGTTTGATAAATTCAAGAAAACCAAGTTTACAATATTCTGTTTTGTACTCCATCCATTTGGGATATTTTCATTAAGGCTTGCAGCATTTTCTTTTAAGGAGAACTTCGATGCTAAAATTACTTGTTTGTCCCTAGTCATCATTACAAACTGTTGATGTTATTGTCTTGTTGGGGGGTATTTTAGACATTCTATTGGTAAATCAATGCAGCAAGGGTATTCTTGAATCACTAAGGAAGAGAGCACACATGATGACCGATGGATTCAACAGTTGCAAAAATGTGGTTTGTAATTTCACAGAAGGTTAGCCATTTTCTGACCAGAATTACTGATCTTATCTTTCTTGAATTCTTCATTTTATTGATCTTTTCTTTTTGAAATTTTATGATCAGGTGCCATGTATTCGTTCCCACAAATAAAATTACCTCCAAAAGCAATTGCAGCTGCAAAAAGTGCTGGAAAAGTTCCTGATGTTTTCTATTGCCTCAAGCTCTTAGAAGCCACTGGCATTTCGACTGTCCCTGGTTCAGGATTCGGCCAGAAAGAGGGGTAACTCGCTTTTCTCTAGCTAAATTTATGCCTCCTCTTTTCGTACACTTTGCACAAGTTGGGGGGTTTCAAGGAAACAACCGCTAGAGGTCGGGTCTTCGTACACTCCACCTCAACCTCCTAGTAGGACATACTTACTTTGGTTTGGTTTGGTTTAGTGGCTTTAGCATTCCAAGTTGGCTATGTGTCCTAGTTTGTAATATCCCACTCCACATCCATCGAGATTGCAAATCCTGAACCCCAAACCCTGCCGGGAGACCAAGCAGGGCATAGCTCGGCATAGGAGCCGACTCCCTGAACCCTGAACCCTGAACCCTTTCGACAATGATATTGTTTTGGGGGTGATTAAACCATCTTACTTGGCTTTCCGTAGCAAATAAATCCTCATTTTTGTAAACATTCAACGAAAAAAAACACTGTAAAATGCAATAACGAGCAGTTTTGGACAAAGAATATCACATCATGGTCGTTTTTACATTTACATTCCCACAGCTTATCCAAAATCGTTCATTCTTACAAGTTGAAGTTAGACATCAAGTGTTTCAGACTGCCAGGGGGTATTCTCGGAAACAACCACTCTGTCTTTTGGGACAGAGGTAAGATATGCACACATGCCCTACCCTACCTCAGGGTGGGGTATACTGCATCTGTTTGATTTGGCAATGTTGTTATGTTGTAAATTTACAAAATCTTTATTCGGGTTTGTTCAATATTAGGGTTTTCCACCTGAGGACGACCATTTTGCCGGCCGAGGAGGACATGCCTGCAATCATGGCGAGTTTCAAGAAGTTCAATGATGCGTTCATGGACCAATACGACGACCATAGAGGGTACTCGAGGATGTAAGGTGTGGTCGTTTTATCCGTATATAGTTCTCCCGATCTCGATATCGGGTGCTCATTGTTATTTCACTTCCGTATTCTATATTGATGTGTATTCACTCAACTATCTTCATTCACATCGTCAATCAACCAAACCTCGTTACGTTAAAATTGCATCGTTTACGTCTTTGTTTTTTCGTCGTATATGCGCTCTTTTCATGCCCTAATCAATGTGCTTTTATGAAAATCAAAGCAACTAGTTGTTAAAATGTTGATTATTGGTTAAATGTCTAAAATACTTTTTCGTTTATGGTAATATTTTTATACTGGTTGAATAGGGGATTATTTATCAAACACTTATTGAGTAATTGTTTACCGGTAGTAGTCACTACTCTCACTTACCTTATTGGGTAACTTTCTCGACCATTAAAATAGATCGTTGATAAGCATCTTTTACTCTTCTTGAATAAGATTCTCGATCTTTGATATGCCTCTTACCGGGTAAAATGTTCGGTGTTTTCAATGCTCACCCACTCAGATAAAGCGCTTATCCAGTAATTATTAGGTAAACGACCCTTAAAGTGGCATTTAAATACGATTTTAGATGTTATGCTAAAAGGGGTTTTGTGTTATGTGTATATGATTAAAAGTAATTAAGATTTTGTATTAAGCTTTTAACACTATTATGTGGATAAAAAGTTGATTACCGACAATCTTAACCAAACTTAACATTATATTGTGTGGACAAAAAGTTGATTACCTACAATCTTAACCGGCCTAACATGAATGTGAGTGCATTTTTTGGCTCACTCAACGGTTGAGGCTGGAGGGTGGGAGGGGGGATTGAACCCGAAATCTGCCTTTTATTTGAACAAAGTCATCTCGTCTTTTTATCAACTGAGCTATTATGTATTAGATTGGAATTTTAAAACGTTGAACCAATTATGATAGCATATCTTATAATTTGAAGTTAAATCCGACGATAAATTAATAAATAAAATGTTTAATTTGATACATAATTTAATAAATATATAGTATTTAACTTGACACGTCACATTATTAATCAACAGGTATTAAAGTTCTTTTTTTATAAGATAACATGCTAAAACCCAACAAATAAAAAATAATTTTCAAAATAAAATTAAACTGAAATTTACAAAAAGAAGAAAAAGAGTAAGGGGTCGTTTGCCTAAACACTTACCCGATAAGCGCTTAACGGTAAAATTCAAATCTATCATTTACCTATCGGAAAAGATTTTGGTATAACAAAACGACATTGTATGAAACAATTTACCCGTTAAGCGCTAACCGTGGTAAGAGTTTTCACTATCACTTACCGGGTAAGACTCTAGATCCTTAACTTCGCTCTTACCAGGTAAGATTTTTGATCCTTTGCCATATTCATCCGATAAGAGAATATGACTTGTTATACGATTACTCAAATAAACATTTGGTAAACTTGCCCTTAGTGAAAAGGCAAATTGCATGAAAAAGTAATGTACTTTGACTTGATATCCATTTTGGTTAACGTACTTTCAAAACTTTCATTTTGGTACCTAAGATGTAAAGTTTTAAGCATTTAAATACTTGGGTAACCGGTAGATGTGGTATCCAACCCAATATTATTAGCTGAAACACTAACCGAATACTACATCACTCGCTATATCAGCATGATAACCGATTAATGCTTCAACCAGTTGCCCGTGTACTTAAGTGTTTAAAATTTTACATCTTGGATACCAAAATGAAAGTTTTAAAAGTATGTTACCTAAAATAAGAATCAAATTATATTACATTATTTTTTCATATAATTTACCCTTAATAAAACATTACATAGTTTGGAAACAATTTAAAATAGTTGGATACTTTTTGATCTTTATAACAAAAATGGGTTTTTTTTTATAAACAATTCCTTACCTGCTTCTTTTGTTTTACCATTAAATGATTCGAAATTTAAACATAAAATAATTAAATATTTAAAGATAGAATAATTTATATGGTTTTAAAAAAGATAGAATAATTATAT